AGTTTTTACATTTGTAACGGAATACACGATTTGATTTAGTTTATTTCCTTAATTTGAATTGAGTTTTCGAACTCAAATTTCTGAACTGAGTTAGATTTAGAGTTGGTCCTTTTGTCAGTGGAGTCGCATATCTGTCACATAGTTATAGTTGCCAACTTAGTCATTTTGTGAAATGGCATGAATAGTCAGGACAAACTGTTCGTTTCGCTACTATTTATATCGGAGTTCAGAAATCATTTCTAAAGTTGGACGCTGCACCTGATTGCTATTCCACTTTGCCTGGCTTCTTCTACAAATCAAGTGTACTCTAACGATGATGAAGTGGTAGTCCTCCAATTTAAATAGTTTCGTTGAAATTAAAATTTGCGACAGAAGAATCAGTCTGACTGGATTATCTGAACAATTTTGTTTAGTATTTTGACGAGTACTTCTCGAGAGAAATCTCAATAATGTATGAAATCCTCGTACGAGTAGCACAAGCTGGGCGTGCAAGCTTCAGGTTTCAAGTAAAAATAGGGGATTTAACTTAGCTAGACATTAAAACATTTTCAATCTCTAACCAGACTGACAATTGTCAGAGTGGTGTATGTGAAGGAGAACTGAATAATATTTTTTTTTTTTGTGCAGTATATTGTTGGACAAACATGTATCTCTTATTTACTGTTTATGATAAGATGTCATTTCTAAAGATTGAGTTCTAAAATTAACAGGAAAGTGTGCTGAAGATGATTTATCAAATTAAAATTATATAGCTTGATGTTTGAAGATGCTGATATGAAATTTATTATCCTTTGATCTCTCGGTCTATTGCAATCTCATGTTATAAGTGACTAGTTTTCTGTCTAGATTGTAAATGGTATTGATTAAATATTGATTAAGGCATGTGTGCTGCCAGTTCTCATTTATGGGAGTGAAGTCTGGTCCACAACTGTCGCCCAAGAAAGTCGTATCAAGACATTCTATATGAAGTGCCTGAGAACAATCTTAGGTCTAAACCTTGGAGACCGTGTTCCAAACAAGAAAATCTTGGATCTCTCAGGACAACCATCGATCGACCTACTTCTACGACGAAATCGTCTACGTTGGTTTGGACATGTAAATAGAATGGTCAACGTGCAAAATGAGCCTAGTCTGCTCAAGAAAGTCATATTTTCGTATTTCCCCAATGCCAAACGACCACCAAATGCTGGTACACGAAAACGATGGGAAAAGAAGATCATGGAAGATCTTGAGAAGTTTGGTATTAAGAACTGGAGGCGCGACACACTCAACAGAGACTTGTGGAGAGATCTGATCAATGCACAAGTTCAATCTAAACCTGTTCATCCGCAACTGAAACAGCTTGTTAAGAACTACAAAGATAAAGCGGATGAACGGAGAGCTATACAAACACAAATCGGTCAAGGAAATCCACCCAAGAAAGTCATTGAAGTTCTAGTCAAAAATATGAACGGTCTGTACACGTGTCCGAATTGCAACAGAGCCTTCAAACCACAAGAAATTACCGGACATGCACGAACATGTGCAAAGAAGTGGTGTAAAAAGAACAATATCATTGGTTGTAAATAGTGACGAAATCCGCTTGATAGTTTGGCTTAAGAAATTAAATGACGAGTTCAACTAAAGCCAAGCAGTTGGAAGGTTGAACTCTGAACACTCGGTAGCCAGACTGTCATTTGTGACCGGCCGCCCAAGAGCCAAAGAAGAAAGACCTTTTTTTTTTTTCAACGTATTTTTTGTGTGACTTCACCCTATACTGTATTTTCGATAATTTGGGTATTATACTGCTACTACTAAATATTGATTAATCAAAGGGCAGTCGTGTTCTAGTAGTACAAATAGCGTAAACTGAATATGTACCACATCGCTTCGATCTCTTCTTTTCTTTATTACCATTTTAACACGATAAACTGTTTTAAAGTCTTTTACCTATTGTCTATGAAATAAAACAGTGACCACGGCTAATTTTTGAATAACTTATGATAGAAAAGAGATAGATTTGCGATTTTAATCCTTCAAAAGAGGAGGGAGCAGAATTTTTTTTTCGAAAAGATTTTCGAGTAGATTTCTAGAAAATCTGAATATCATTTCATATATCAATAGGATACACCTAAACCAAAATACATTATGTAAATGTCTCTGTTGTTCGTATTTCGTTCGAATAAGACGCTGCTTTTGTTTTACAACATCGTATACTTTCTAGTCATGAATTTTTTGTCTATTATCTATTCAAGAGAGATGAACATTATTTTTTCTAGAGAGAAATTCAATGTTTTCGTCCTCTTGATCATATGTGGAAAAAGACAACCACAATATCGATCGTGTACACAAGACGCTGATGCGATCAGTCAGATGTTTATATGATACGTATAATTTACCCTACTAGGACACTGTTGGTCTCAATTGCGTATTTTGTGATGAAAAAAAAGAAATTTAGTGATAAAACTAAAGAAGTTGAACTAGACGAGATGCCATGCGTATACAGAGCTATATCTAAATATCATTGAGAAAAGTATTAATAAAAAATAACTTCAGTAATAAGCTTCTAATCGTATTTGAGAATAAAAATGAAAATCGAAGTATCTCATTACGATGAGAGTCACTCTTTGGGTATCGTTTGTGTATGTAGGACAACGCGTTTAAGATCATCCCAGTTTTCTCTGAAGCATGGTTGTCTACGAAACATTTAATTCAGACTACTAAGTACAATGCCCTTCGGCGATTCTAAGTTTTCTGATACCCTGATATGCCTTTTCTTACTTTTGTGTTTATAATAAATAGTTTAAACCAAAGTATCTTCTATAAAGGATTGTAGTAAAAAGGCCGATGAACGAGATCAACTTTAGACTCCAGAACTTCGACACGATGATTTTTTGTTGATAAAAGTTGATAAACATCGTGAAGTTGTGAGCGCAATCATCCACAGTGCTATTCAGACATTGGTAGAACGAAATGCTGTAATCGTTCAATGATTTCTCGATAGAATAGATCGGCAGTTTTCACGCAGACAGAATGATGCTTTATGGTTGATCCACAACTGTCAAGTATTTGTGTATTCGACTTTTTTTGTAAATGAAAGATCCAAAACTATCGTTATCTCTTTCATACTGTTCAAACAACATTCTCCTTCTTATCGATCACTCTGACAATAGTCGGTTCGTTTAGCGAATGAAAATGCCGTAATGTCTAGTTAAGTCAAATGCCGAATTTTTACTCAGAATTGAAGCAACTTGTGCTACTCGAACGAGTATTTCATACATTACTGAGATTTCTCTTGTAAAGAAAATATTTTGATGTGGGGTCGGCAAAATACTAAACAAAATTGTTCACATATTCAAGTCATTTAGGTCCTGAAGTCGAAAACCGCCGAATTCAAATTATATATTTATTTTATATCAAATTTATATCACAGACCTCAAACTCAAACAACCGAAACATTTTTATCATCCATCCAATACATATCACACTGTACGCTATTTTCCGGCTTTTTTCGAATTGTAATTTCGAGGAAACTATTATTCTGTTTAGAGATCATTTTTCTATCTGTCAGTCTTTCTTACGATTTTGCGTTGACGACGACCATGTTCTCAAATGACGTAAAGTCTTTTTCTATTTAAAAATAAGAAACAAATCAAAAATGTATTTGTAACTTTACTTCGTTTAAGCACATTGTTATCGTCAACGCAAAATCGTAAGAAAGACCGACGGATAGAAAATTGATCTGTATACAACAGTAGAGAAAAATAATAATACACCGCCGACTAGCTAATATTTTATACATTTTGTTAGCTGTTTTTTACTTTGTTATCTCTCATTTTATTTTAGTATATATAAATGCTATACTTTTCAGTGCAATCATCACAATCTCTTTTTTCTATTGTAGCAATAACAGAAAATGTTTAACAATCAATTTTTACGATTATTATTTGTTACTGTGTTTATACTTATCAATTCTTTCGTTTGGTTGACATCAAGTGAATCTGTTACACAAAACTTTGACGTTGGTACTTACAAAGGTGACGTGAAAGATGGAAAACGGGAGGGAAACGGAGTATTTGAATGGAAGTCGGGCGATCAATATGACGGACATTGGAGTGAAGACAAAATGAGCGGTAATGGAACAATGATTTGGGCAAATAAGAATAAATACGAGGGAAATTTTGAGAATGATGTGATGAGCGGTCATGGAACAATGACATGGAACAACGGAGATCGATATGATGGAGAATGGAAGGATGGAAAAATAAACGGTCACGGAATAAAAGTATGGAAAAATGGCGCGAAATATGAGGGAGATTTTGTAGATGATGAACTGCAAGGTCAGGGTACAATGACTTGGCCGGATGGAAAAACATTTAACGGCAAATGGATTAAAGGTAAAGCAAGTGGCGCAAGTACATCCGACGGTGAGTTTAAAAGAGGTCACGTGTCACTGTTTGTGCATACATTTCCTTGAATGCATGCAACTTTGCTTTGGATTCGCTTTAATGAGAAATTTCGATACGATCAAAAGTTGTTGCATTTTTTAGATTCGAGAACTTATTACTTTTGTCGTATTAAGCGCTCGTCCAATTTGAATAAAAAACTTTTCATTGGAAGCTAACATCGTAACTTTGAAAAAATCACACTGTAACAGCGGCATAACCAGGATTTTTAGTCCAATGGGCAAACTTCTATTGTATCGGAAAAAAACGATGGGCAAAATGGGCAAGGTTTTTGTCGATGGGCCAAAAGATTTTTGGTCCAAAAAGAACACAAAAAAATGAAATGAGATTCTTTTTTTTTGAATTAGATTCTAATTCAAAAATAAACAAACAGTTCTGTCTATAGGCGCTCTTACATATAGCTTTCTAAGGATTATACAAAAAAAAACCGCATGGGTATATCTGCTAAGTAAAATTACAATGGGTAAATCTCCAAATGAAATGGGCAATTGCCCATTTGCCCCCCTGGATACGCCGCTGCATTGTAGTGAAGTACTTAGCCAAAAAAAATGTTCGAAGAATTCAATACCACATTTTCTGACATTGACCTAACGCTATGCATATTGTTTTTGCCACCTGGCAAATAAATTTCACATATTACTTAATCTTTTTTAAAGATCTTTCACTACATTCTATCCCATCCAGTACAAAATTAACTGAGTGCTTTTGCTGTATGATGGTAAAAAAATAATTGAGTAATAGTACTGAGAATGGCTTCCAGTGTTCGTTATTCATACTGCGTTTTATTTGATTTACTTTCAAATTAACACGTGATCATACGTTCTCGAGAATGAATGAAATACTCGTGTCGTTGGAATTAAAAACTTTATTTAACTCGTCGGACCAGTAGCCTGAGATGTTGTTCTTCATCAATTCTTCTTTCTATTCTATTCTTTTGTAATAGATTCACAGGATAAAAATGATGATAAAGATAAATCCGAAAGTAATGAACATAAATCCGAAGGCGGAGAAGGATTCGCCGAGAAAACACTTGCCGCACACAACCAATTCCGTTCAAAACATTGTGCGTCGCCTCTGGTATTGGATGATGAATTGAACAATATTGCTCA